CGAATAAGTTCACGGCCGGACACACCCCTCTCCCTGTAGTTATAATTTGACTTAAGTCGGGTTTCTATATTTAAAAACGCTTCGTTTCCTTTTACGAACCTTTTTGCATTAAAAGCAATACAAGAACTTTTTTGTAAAAAAACACTAGTTCATTTACTTATGAACCGTTTAAAATTTTCTTAATTTTAAGTTATTCTAAGTTACCGAACGAATAGTTTCTATAAACTGTTTTCACGTGCACCTCGTATGTAATAAGACGGATCGTTACGAAGAACGAAACGTTTATTGTATTTAGGAATCTGGCACTTTGACACTACTGCCCGTCACCGCTTTGGATATTTTACCTCTGGAGTAAGTGAAAAGGTTATAGGATCCGTGGGACATAGCCCAACGGATTAGTAAGCTGAAGTGGCAATGGACCGGCCATATAGCTCGAAGAACCGACAACCGATGGGGAAGAAAGGTTCTCGAGTGATAACCTCGTACCGGAAGGAGAAGTGAAAGTCCCCCCCCCCCCTCCCACTAGATGGAGGGATTACCTGGTAAAACATGCAGGAATTCGATGGCTCAAGGCCGTGTTTTGTGGCATTCCTTGGGGGAGGCTTGTGTTCAGCAGTGGACTTATAGCAGACTTATTGATTTTTTATTTTACAAAATGCTTGCGAATATGGGGCGAGGGGGTAAGGTGCTGCATTTTCGGCTTTATTGGTTTCGAGCGGCTGCAACCTATGCCACAAAGTACTTAATAGTACAATGCCTATGTTACGCCGCTATCTTAAAAGAAACATGTTACAAGTGAAGTAATCGATAGTTCTAGAAGTATCGCACTCTTCACGCTGCTGCCCTTCGCTTGTCTGTGTATTTCACATCTCGTATGTACGAGTTGCTTAAACCGCCATCTATTGGACCTATATTTCTAGCATGTTTTATACACCACCCACGGAACTAAACGGAGTGATCAGTGGCGTAGCTACCGTAGGTCTAGGCGGGGCAGTCAGACTCAAAGGGCCCTTTATTTTTTACTAGCATCTAAAATTATACCACGGGTCCTCTTATCGGGATAAAGGTATCCTGGTCGAGCTCTATCGGTGCGCAAAATTTCATCCAAATCCATCCAGTAGCTTTCGTAAAAGCGTAACAAACACACAAACTGTTACATTGGTAACATTATTAGAAAGAACGATTAAATATTATTTGCTACGTTACACATAACACTTAGCAGTAAGTAACTTTCCTTTATGCAGTGCAGTGGGCGATAAGGAATAGAAGATGAAGCAGTTTTACACCTTTAAAGTATTTAGTTTAGTTTAAATATCCCCATCACTTTTTTGCCCCGGAGCCCTTAGTTACATAGCTACTCCACTGGGAGTGATGGATACTCTAACGCCCCTACACTTCCAGCTGATATAAAGGCTAGCTATTTATTGTTAGCCTAAAGGCTAGCAGCTAATTTAAAGGTTTAATAAGATCTATTTATTAATCAGAAACCCCTTTTAACTTTTTTTAAAGTGATATAATTTATTTATTTATTTTTCTGCCGACTTCAAAAAGGAGACGGTACTCAATTCGACTGTATGTTTTTATGTGTATTACCTCTTAACTTTTTACTGGGTGAACCGATTTCGATGATTCTTTTTTTCATTTGAAAGCTGCTACTTCTCGTATGGTCCCATATAAATGTCAGACCAATAGTTTTTGAGTTATTCTTAATAATTTATATTGAAGTCGGCTGTACAAATTTTTTAATTTTAAATTATTAATGTACCAAGTAGTACACATTATGCTGGACTTAATGCCATTCTCTCATAGTCAACCAATAAGCTAAACAAACATAGACATATAAGAGGCGATCCAGCAAAGATCAAAAAATAAAGTCGATAAAAGTTATAATTATATACATATATACATAATTATGTCGATATATAGATACATATATATATGCTTACAACATCTACTTAGTGCATAGTTAATAGAATCTATATTTTTGTATATTTTTTCTTCTTCATCTGCTAGCGCCTCTCCGACTAGCGAAGGTTGGCAGTCAGCTTAGTTAACTCTGCTCTATTCTTCGCGAGGCGAAACAGTTCGGCGGCACTCATGATTCCCGTCCACTCCCGGATTTTACATAGCCATGACTTTTTTCTGCAACCGACGCCTCTTCTTCCGGCAACTGTTCCCATAATAATGAGTGTTAGGAGTTCATACCTCTGGTGCCTGAGCACGTGCTCCGAATATGCGACTTTTCTCATCTTAACGGTCTGCATAAGTTCGCGCTTTTGGTTGACTCGTCGCAGAACTTCCACATTCATTACTTTGTGAGTCCAGCTAATGGCCAACATACGTCTGTATGACCACATCTCGAAAGCTTGTATACGTTTTCCAACGTCCTCTTTAACTGTGCACACCTCACATTCGTATAAAAGTATGGGCCAGATGTAACATCGTAGTTAAAAGTTAAAGTTAAAGTTAAAGTTACAGCCTATATACGTCCCACAGCTGGACACAGGCCTTCCCTCATTTCTGAGAGGGTTTCAGGGCAAGGAAATGTCCGCCACGCTGCCCCAATGTGTGTTGGCGAACTTCACATGTCTTCGAATTGTTTTTCTTATTTCTCAGACATGCAGGTCTCCCCACGATGTTTTCCTTCACCGACGAGCACGTGGTAAATCAGCACTTAAAATTGCAATTACCAATTTCATTGGTGCCCGCGGGGATTGAAGCTGGGTTGCTGGCATACTGTGAAATTTAGAGGGATCGCTAACCATCTGAGCTACCACGTAGTAGTTGTGTTTTTTTTTCACTTTACTTTTATCGTTGTAACAATAACTATAATATTCCCGTTAACTAAGTACCTACACCAAGTATGAGTAAAACGCTTTCTAAAGTTGTTAGTAGCCTCATCGATCCCGCCCACCACCATTTCGACCCTTGGGTGTCGTAACAGAGGTAATAGACGTATAGGTTATGTCAAAGGCCCAAACATCTTATAGCATCCTATAAATGATGTTAAACCTAGATTACGAGAAAGCACCACGTTCTCACAGAATACCAGCGTAAAATGGCAGCTTGACACGGCTGTGTTTCGTATGGGGAGTGTAGAGAACCAGAGACCCATTTTACTGGAAAAGAGGCATTCCATCTTAGTCCTCACGGGTGACGACGCATCTGCATTTTGATTCTTTATTGAGGATAAATGTAGATGTCTATGGGTCACAGCAACCACTTACCATCGACTGTGTGCTCGTTTGTAACCCTATCCTATAAAAAAAACTACCGGCGACCTAAACCCAGACCGGCGACGAAAAGCGGCGTCAAAGTTACGAAAATCCTTATACTGCAATATACATGTAGTGTATGAAGTGAGGCTCATTTCAAGCAAGGGAATTTTACGGGCTGATGAGGAAGAAAAAACCCCTACTCATAATACATGGATGGATGGTAGTATAATACCGCAGGCCATTATCTGACCTCTTGCCATAAGGTGGGTTGTGAGCATTTTAAACATTTAAAAAAACATTAAATGAAATACTATTGCAATTAAAAAAAGCAAAACATGATGTTGGAAAAATCGACGCGACGCGACGCTCGCGTGTCGCCACGCCCTGTCTGGTGACTCCAACCTAGGGGGTAGGTTACTTAGTTCCTAATTTACGTAAGTATGACTAACGCTTTATATTGCAATTCTTTTGTTTAGAATGCTCTACGGCTATTTCAGTGTATAAATATATTACATTTCTCAAATATTAAACAAACAGTGAAAGCTTGTATATGTGTAGATTACATTTACATCGACGGTCTTAGCGTCCATTGCCGACGACTTAAGCATTCTTTTTTTAAAGAATAACGGTAACAAACAAGCACACAGTTCACCTGATGGTAAGTGGATGCTGTAACCTATACACATCTACATTTTATCCTCGATTAGCTGGTACCTTTTTTCTGGTGGTTGTAGAAGAAATAATTACGAAAATATAATTTAAAATTTAGAACAGTTATTTTTGTTGTTGTTGTTGAAGTTGAATAATATGTAAGGTCGGTACGATACGCGCGCCACCTACTGTAAGTTAATTGTACCATGTAAGTTTTACCTCAATCTGTTGAACGGTATGGCAGCGCATAAAATATGAACAAACAAATATTAATTTTTATATTAAGAATCAAGATGGGATGCCTCGTTTCCAGTAAAAAGGGGTCAGTGTAGGTGGAATAATCCCGGCAGGGTAGGTTAGGATTTCCTTCATTCTTACCTAGGTGCTATTAGAGGCAACTGAGGTACACATACATTCTTTTACGTGGTAGATTTATTCTGCAGCTATATTATGGTTATAGCTTAGTATGGGTTATAGTACGAATGATCCGACTCAGCCGGGGAAGAACCACGCTCTCACAGAATACCAGCGTGAAATAGTAACTTAATGCTGCTGTGTTTGGTATGTTGAATGTAGAGAAGAGAACTTGGGTGTGCTCCTAGGTCAATATATATGATTTATTACTCCCCATCTATACATATTATAAATCTGTAGAAAAATTGTGTGTTCACGATTCACACAAAAACTACCAAACTAATTTCCGTGAAATTTTGTATGTAGGCAGTAAATGACCATGTAAAATATATAGGCAACTTTTTATCCCCTTACGGATTATCTTATTTTTTATTTTAATGTTATAATTGCTGCTGATGGTTCTATTAGTCTTAAAGAGGATTTAGCTATTAAATCTATAGAAAAGTGTGTGTGTGAAAATGAAACTCATCGCGCCACCAACCAGTAAAGACAGAATAACGTCAGTCGGGTCCGCTAGTTTCTAATAATAATTTAAAAAGTACTATAATTTTTTATGTTTACCCATGCATAACGATTTCGCGTATAAATTAAGATTTGAGTTAAAAACACGCTGGTAAAATAATATTTTATTAAAAAAAATCAGAGAGATCAAAAAATTCAAAAAGATCAAATTTTGTTTTCTTCTTATTTAAAATGTGTGACAAACGAGCCCACAGTTCACCAAGTAATTGGCTTCTTCAACCCTACACCACACCTGCCACCAACGTCAAGCAAAGACCACATATTCATTGTGACACCTGAAGACCAATAGAATATCTGGCAGCCAACAATTATACCAATACTCAAAGAATCATATTTGCGCCTAATACTCAGTTCAGCTGCCTCTGATGCCGCCCCGGCTCTAAACGAGGTACTCATGAGATGGGAGGCCGCCACAGTGTCTACGCAAGTAGCACCCCACACTAGGGCTTTACCTCTCTCCCAAGGAACCAATGTCATACCGTCGGGTCTTTTGCCATCGTCTCTAAATATTCCATAAGGCTCTAAAACCGAGGGAACATGTATAGAGACAAGAGCCCTTCGGATGACATCATTCAAAGAACTGTGTCGTGAAAACCTACCAGCACTTTTCTTACATGAGAGTCCGTGGAGCCCAAACTTGTCAACGCTGCTACCACAGGGGCACTGATGGGGTTAACAAATCGCCGCTCCTAGTCGGATTCCTACGGCGTTGCGCAAGGTTTCCCCAGCAAGTAATGTGCCGAGATTACTTGATGGTAAAGCGTGTAACTAGTGACTAGATTCCTTAGTCGAAACAGCTAGAAGGCGTGCCTTATCTTGGTCACTATGGAAATTATGAAACAAATCTTTCTGCACGTTCTGTACCAACGGAATATCCCACTGTTTTTGTTGGTTAACTTCCAGTGGAACATTTTCATCGTGACAGAGTGTTTGCCATGTCTGCCCTGCATCCGTAGCAAAGCACAGATCTACTACTCCTATACTATATTATACAATTTATCAACATGGTTCAAAAACTGATCAAATATTGTTTTTAAATCAGGTTTAATACTATCGAAAAACAATGGGACACCTAGCAGGTATAGTGATTCCGTACCGACAGTTTTTATTTCTTGAGAAATATGACTGAAATTTTGAATTAAAGTGTCTCCTCTATGAGAAGTAGATAAATTATTGGAAAAAATATTTCACATTTATTGCTATTTGGTTCAAGACCAATATTTTTAATATTTCGAAAAATATGAGTAAGATCACTGAGGACGTCATCTGCTCTACCTCCCTGTGTACCGTCGTCCAGGTATTCAGACCAGATATTGAGCTTGAATTTCAAATTTGAAATAATGGGTTGAATTCCCAAACTGAAAAGTACTGGACCTAGTGGGTCACCCTGTTGAACACCGATAGCAGAATCGATAACATGGTTTTCGTAAAACAAGTTAGTATTTTGACTGTAACATTGCCAAACGTAATGATAAATCTCGGGGGTATTATTAGCCACTTCTTTCAGCAAGGTTATCCTATCGATATAATTAAAAGCATTCCTTAGGTCAACCTTCACAAGAACATCTGCATCAGAGTTTGTTAAAAATGTACGCACTGAATGTACCGCCGCCTCACAGCCACCTCTAGTGTCGAAGCCTAGTTGAGTAGACTGAAATTTTGTCTTAAGCTTAGAGATTATGTGCCTGCAAGCTAATTTTGAAGTTAAGCGTCGAAATGTAACCAACGATATGGAACCATCGGCAATAGGACGGATACCGTTATCCTTTTTTTTGTACGCACATAATCTTGCCCCATATAAGAATGCAATGAAATTTAGATTAACATTACCAGAAAGCATAAAGTTACATAATTTTGTAATCTCTTTAAGAAGTACTCCGCCGGCGTCACCGGCAGAATCGCTTACAAGATCTTTAAGATGTTGAGGCGTAATTCCGTCAATGTCACCAGCAGAGCCATTCGAAAATGACATAATTGCTTCTAAAGTGTATTTTTCAGAAATTTGTAAAGGTTGCAAAACTCTTTGGAGGCAGCGGTAAACGTTGAGATGATTTGACCGAAGGATGCTTCTGACGAAGGCATTTCAAGAGTTTCGACATTACGAGGAGTCAGGATGTCGTCTGAGAATAAAATACGGGATGCATTTTTTAAGTCGCCATCCATTACTTTCGACTCAACTACTTTTTTAAATCAAATTTAGGACGTGGTCAAGATAAAAGAGTATTAATTGGGTAATCTAAACATTTTTTTGATTTATTTCTTGTTTTATCAAAATGGGAATACGCGAAAGTAAATAATTTTTGCCAACTCTTTTCAATATTAGTGAAACAATTTTGAATAGTGCATGACAATGCTTTAGCAAGCTGCATCCTCGCACCTCCAGGAATTATTTTAACCACTGGTACACTACGATGATAATTGTAAATTTGCTCCGAAAATAGGGAAAAATTTGTGTCATTAGAGGAATTAATAATGAGTTATGAATTTCCACAGTACCTAGGCTGTGAAGCCGAAATACTTTTACTATGGCATCGTTTAAGATGTAGGTATATTTAATCCCCTTTTACCTTTAAACAGCCTACCGTCGGTACAATATTGACACAGTAGGAAATCCGGCTGTGAATGTAGCGGAGGGGAAATATTCATTAAAAAATCTAAACAGCTCTCAACAGCACTCAAAAGTCTTTATAATACATAACTTCATATTGACTTGAAATGTGCTGTATCCCGCATCTTTCCTGGAAACACAATCATTTTCTTACAGATGGCGTTAGTAATACACTAAAAATCTAATTAATGAAAATTGTTATATCTTCTTTTGAATATGGATATAATATTTTTATGATTGATAACACATATACATATACGTAGATATATGTGGTAGAGCTATGCTGCAGCTATATTTCAGGTATAGTTGTAACACGAATGGGTCGGCCGACCGGGCAAGGACCAAGCTCTCACAGAATACCAGCGTTAAATAGCAGCTTAATGCTGCTGTGTTTCGTATGAGACATTCCATCTTAGTCATCACTGATGACAACGCATCTGCATTTTGATTCCTAATCGAGGATAAATGTAGATGTCTATGGGTCACAGCAACCACTTACCATCAGGTGGACTGTGTGCTCGTTTGTAACCTTTATCCTATAAAAAAAAACATCTTGACATAAATCGAAAATACTATGTCAAAGCGCAAACCTGAAATTGTGATGATTTCACAGTAAAATGTACCATAAAAACGCATAGATTGTGGGATAGTGATTCATAATGTTCTACGTTCATGTATTTTTAAAGCTTACGATACAATACGTAAACATATTACAAACCAATATTTTAATATGCTCACGGATATAAATTCGTAAATTTAATATGTAACTTCAACGGCCCTGTGGCGCAACGGATAACGCGTCTGACTACGGATCAGAAGATTCCAGGTTCGAATCCTGGCAGGGTCGCAATTATTCATTTTGTAATTTTAATTAACAAATTTTGTTGGATAACACATACAATAACAGTAACATATTTTAGATTTTTAACAAAATGTATCGGCTAAAAATAACTTTAACCGCTAATAATAATTTAACTGCAAACAAACTTACGAAAGAAGCACATTAAAAAGTTTTATAACTTATAAATAAGGTAATTAATAAACATAAACTATGATTTGGAATTGAACACGAGATGGAGCTTTTATCACACAATAAATAATAGTACCATAGAATTAATAATTCTATGAATAGTACTACGTACTTTTATCAAGTTTCTTTGTTACCGCCACAAGTAAAGTATAAAATTATTATTACTTTATATTTATCAAATATTTATTGACTAAAGCGAAAAATAACTTAATTCATCAACTATTTATAATTATGAAAGAATCAAGTTATTTTTAAAAGTGTATATCAGTCAGTAGAGAAAATATGAAGCAAATTTGTACATGATACCTACAGGTACCCACGTTATAAATTTTTTACTTGATGTAGGACAAATCAACCCAAGTATTTAACTAGAGCTATAGCCATTGAAAGTTTGAAAGTTATACTGCTGCATGCACTCTTACTCTATTTTAAGGAGATAACAAATATTCTATTCCCGCTTCCCGCTGATTGAACTAAATATATATATATATATATTATTTAAACAAAACGTTACCCCCACACTAGGATTTTCTTCTGTATCGTGGAGGCAGTTTAGAAACATACATTGCACGAGGACAAACATTCAAACAACATAAATTAATCAAATTTTTTTTTTATACAATACACCACGATATGCACGATATGAATATTCCCTAATATAGCATTATAGGTTATAGGTTGAAGTTGGTTTAGTATAAGCGACATCTTACGGTAACTAGCAGAAGCTGGATTCTGAACGATATCACTCATTTTGAGACGTCAATGTCTTCCTTACAACTAGCTATTTATTAATTTTACGGATTTTATCGCGTATATTAACTCATTTTTTTTAATTTTTTTTTTATATTCCCGACGTTTCGGGTGCTTTCCAGCACCCGTGGTCACGGGGGACTGAGTTGTTTGACGTCCTGCTGTCATAGTTAGCCCGGCTACCTTCACCACGGGTGCTGGAAAGCACCCGAAACGTCGGGAATATAAAAAATAAAAAAAATAAAAAAATAAAAAATAAGTTAATATACGCGATAAAATCCGTAAAATTAGTTTTATTTAAAAATATAATTCAATTGTTAAGAAGGCGCTCCAACTTTGGTATCTAGAAGATATTGAGATAGATCTGGCTAACACGCATCCGCGTAGTTATAATAATGGACAATATCAAAGACTGGATAAGTAGAAGCTTAGTTTTATAAAGCAGGAAGTTTTTTAAACGACAAAGAGAATGAAGGTGGCAGCAACTTTACGGCTTATTTCAGTAACTTGAATTTCCCAGCTTAAAGTAAAGTATAGCCTATATATAAGCTAAGTTTTAACAGAATTAAAAAATGACAGCAGAGTTCCATTTTAAAACACAGGAGAAAGACCATTACCTTACATTTGGAAGGGTTAACAGAAATACTATCTCTTTACGACCAATTTCTAATGGCATCAAGGTTGTGGTTATGTTTATTAATATTATCATTAAGGTTGTTAACACTTAATTGCCCATAGAGCTGAAGATCAACACCGTACCTACAGATAGTACGAACAGTTGTAAACCGAAGAGAAAGAAGTTATAAATAAAGGAAATATCATAGGAGAAAATATTCTGCCTTGCGGCACGCCTGTTTCAATGTCAGCCCGTGTTGAGGACTGTTGTCCTAATCGTAATGATTGCTGGCGGCCGCGAAGATAGAATGAAAACCATTCCAAAGCTGGGAATGAGAATCTAAGGCTGAGATCTATAGATAGTACTTTAACTTTGCTCACACTTAGCTTACGAAAAACTTAGCTGAGTATATACCTAGCATAAACTTTGATTCTGAATTTATAGTTGTATCGGGTTAAGATTAAACTAAGCTTATGCTAAGGCCCAGAGAGTCCAAATATTAATGGACGCTTCATTCCACGCATTACTATACTGTATAAAATTAAAATATATATATATTTAAAATCAAAATTACTGTATAAAATAAAATAT